TTTGCTTCTCCGCCTCCCTATGAGTTCCGCACATTTTTAACCAAAATTTACGTCCCCCTCTACTCCCCCCTCCCCCAATTTTCGCATCTTCGTGAGCAAAATTTACGTCCGTTTGTCCTCCTCCAACTAAGCATTTTTAAAATTTTTTGACGGTCCCGCAAAGTCCTGCGTTTGTTTACTATCAAATTTGTGCTTTCACAACAAAATTTCCTGTTGGTCTAGCTAAATTTCGTGTCCCTCTACTAAATTCAGCACCCGTTTGGCAAGCTTTTGTATTTCTGCTTGAATTCCGCGTCATTTTAACCGCGTTTTGCACATATTCCATTGAAATATACGCTTGTAACTCAAATTTTTGGCACTCAATTTGGCTCATAAATGGCCTAATATCTTAATTTTTACTCCTACTTCCAGCTTAGCCAGTAAAAACAAGTTGCTAAAAGAGAAATTTCGAAATTTCGCCCAGCACTCACCTGGCCCGCCATGTTGTCCGAGTATGCTGCCACCGAGTACCGAGCTCGGGCCTGCGCCACCGCCGCTCAGGATCGACGTTGGACCACCGGTGCTGCCCATCATTATTGAAGCTGGACCGAGATTTGATGCAGGACCGCCAAGGATACTGCTCGGACAGATGATCGAAGCCGGACCCGCCAGTACCGATGAGAGGCCTACGTTGGTACCGCTGCTGATCGGTGTCTGCCCACCGAGTGATGTTATCACCGAAGTTGATTGCGTCGGACTCCCAAAATGCTCCATCTGCAACCACCAGCCCCTCTATCAGAAACGGGGAAAATCAGCTGTACACCACAATCAGGTGTACACCACGATTAACTAACACTAACGTGTTTGCAGTAATTTTGGGCCATTATAAATTGATTAACACAACTGGAATATTACGGCATAATTACTTTATCATTATTATTAATATTATTGTTATTACTATTGTTATCACCATTAATTACATTCTTATCATTATTTATAACATTATTGTCATTATTGATAACATTATTATCATAAAAATAACAGTTTTTTACCAAACCATTTTTATTATCATTACTGCTGCTGCCGCTGTTATTATTATTATTATTATTATTATTATTATTACTATTACTATTACTATTACTATTATCATTA